TACATTACCTCTGATATTATAGGTTACATGGAAATCAAAATGTCTTATGTCATGGGGATCGTTTCAAAAATAATGTACAAAAAGTACTGCTGCAATTGGTGTGACATTTCTTCTGGATACGCAATCCAGTGGAGGTGATACAAGGATGATGAGCAGATCTTCCCCCATCATCAGTACTAGGAAAAATAAGGGGTTCGGTGGGTGCAATTACGCGGTTTTAATTTTTTTTTTCATTAAGACTATTCAAAGCCACCACAATATATGTTCGACATTTATTAAATAATACTTTCGAATACATGTGTTAAAGGTTGATTTGGATTAAAAAAAATCCCGTGAAACAACAAAACAAACATGTCGTGTGTGGCGCACTTCACTAGTACGCGAAATTGCAACAAAACTAGCCTCTGGTTTCAAACGATACACGCGATGACGAAAGGTAAAAAATATTTTTACTTCACGTTACTGACGATATTTTTTTATTTACTACAGGATATCCCAGACAATTAGCCAAGTAGCCTCATTCCGGTGTACACTGTGCTTGTCCATAGTTACCCAGGCAGAGTAGCCATATTCCGGTGTACACAGTTCTTGTCCATAGTTATCCAGGCAGAGTAGCCGCATTCTGGTGTACACTGTGCTTGTCCATAGTTATCAAGGCAAAGTAGCCTCATTCTGGTGTACATTGTGCTTGTCCACAGTTATCCAGGCCGAGTAGCCTCATTCTGGCGTACACTGTGGTTGTCCACAGTTACCCAGGCCAAGTAGCCTCATTTTGGTGTACACTGTTCTTGTCCATAGTTACCCAGGCCAAGTAGCCTCATTGTGGCATACACTGTTTTTGTCCATAGTTATCCAGGCCAAGTAGCCTCATTCTGGTGTACACTGTGCTTGTCCATAGTTACCCAGGCCAAGTAGCCTCATTTTGGTGTACACTGTGCTTGTCCATAGTTACCCAGGCCAAGTAGACTCATTGTGGTGTACACTGTGCTTGTCCATAGTTACCCATGCCAAGTAGCCTCATTCCAAATACTATACATACACATTGGCATTTCAGTTCTGTATTAGCCTTATATCTATGATTATACATACACAATTTACTGACACCATCATGTATGAAGTTCGATCTGTCTGTTATAATTCTTATTTCTCTATATCAAGGTTAAAAGGGTGGCATACTTTGGTTAGTCTTTCCTCTGGTTGGGGAGAGGGGTAGCATGGTGACATCAGAAGGAGGCTAGCAGAACCAAATCAGTTTATACACATTCAAAATGAAATGGAATTCCAAAATAAAGATGAAGCCCAATTTTCATGTTTTTAGTAAACAAAAACAAACTTACTGAGAACTAGAGTCACTAGTCTCAATTCTAACACCAAATGCCGGAGAAACACAAATTGGTGAAGTTCGACTCCAGTCAATTTGTTATCTCCAATTACCTGAAATTGTTTCCATGGAGACAAGCATTTATCTCTACTCTGGTTGCCATGCAACTGAAGTTCAAGATTTCAGTAAATCTCTCTGTCATCTGAGGTCTTAGCCTTAGTTACAATATACAATGTACAAACATATATTGTGGGCATCTGAACTTGTTTTCATGGAAACAATGATGTTGTGATTCCTCCTCCAGTCTTTCACACCTTATGAATGTACTGAATCTTTTCATGATTGTGACTATTTACTGGCAACAATGTTGGAAAGCAATAGTGATGCATTCTGGGATATGATAACAAACAACAACAAACAAACAAACAAACAAACAGAAAGTAAAATGCATTCCGTTCTTGAAAATACATAATCAGTCATGCTAAATTTGCAGACAATCAGAATATTATTCAAAATATATGAATATCACAACTCTAATATTACAAATACAGTAAATTATATTTATTTTGACAAATATCTCTTGTTTATATATTTAGTAGTCACTCAAAAGAACATATTTGACACAAATTAATTGGTTTAACCATTATTAGAAAAAATGAGATTATGTCAAGGGTTCATAAACAAGGGCTGCAGCTTCAATATTATTAAATTCTATGAAAATATAAATAAGATGGAGATCTCACTCTTTTTATATTAGAAATCACCTGATTATTTTAATTATTGTTAATATTAATTTGTTATTGATCAGTCACAACAACTGAAATTTAAATAATATCTATTTAATTAAAAACATGATCCTGCCAACACTTTCATTTTTTATGGGTTTAATTTCACTATTTTTTCATGGGTTTAATTTCACTATTTTTGAGTGAAATCTGCCTAAATTTAATTCATTTGAACAATGAATATTACAAAAGAATTTATTGTTACACTGGACAATCTGTGAATTTAAAATTCAATGTATACTGTGAAACATGATGAAATAGCTGCATGTAATTTTAGCAAATTTGACCCAATGCATGAAATTAACAGAATCTTAATTTAACAGAAGTAACAACAATCTCATTGTGAGAATATACTTTGTTAAATTAGCGACATCTTGATATTAGCAAAATTAAGGATTATCAGTAGCTAAAATAAAATCCTAGCTAAAAACATCTGTTTTACAGTATACTCAAAGCATTGAAATAGTAGAAATTAAATCTTGGTAAAACTTAATGCCTTTACAGTATGGATATTATAATAATATTGATTCACTTGCAACAAGTTATCCGAGTACCATATTTGCTCTATTAATAGCATATGTGCTCATGTAAATGACAAAAGTATGTCCATGGTGAAAATAAGTAATATTTTTATGATTTAGTATACAACAAATGTGATTACCACTTTATTGGAGATGAGCTTCTACAGGTATAAACTGAACAATCACGGTAACATATTTTAGTACGCAAATGTGTATATATTTTGAGATGGGGGAACCCTTTCACTACTTCATCAATTGACAAATTAAGTAACCTTCCACAAAATAGTTTTGTTTCCATGAAGGTTCTGCTAACAATTCAATATCAAATTCTGTCT